GCAAAAGGGCGGGAAGATATATATAAAATTTAAATTTTATTTCGGTTGTATGAAATCTAAAGCTCAGAACTTTTTTGTTCACCTAATATTATTACTGATAATTTATATATATTTTAATTTATTTATTTATTCGTATAAAAAAAATGTTTTCTTATAAATTCTATGTAAATACATAAACAATGTTATGACTGCACGAAGTTCACTTGATGGAACTGTTATCGATATAGCATATTAAATCTGACAAATTTTTTTATCTGCTTGCAATAAATTTACATTAAATCCATGATCTTGAAAAAAATAATTTTGATAGCAACCTCATAAAAAATATAGATTTATTATTTAATATGCTTTTTAATTTAAAGATTTTATTAATAAAAAAGAAAAGATTCTAAAAACATTCATAATGAAAAAAAATTAATAAAATTTGTGGCTATATGTGGAAACATTTGTGATGTCCTTCATTTTTTTTTTGTCCTTTATTGGTTCTGTATTGAAATACCGATTTGGAAAAGTGTTGAAATGTCGAGTGTTATTTCTCTTCTTATGTAAATAATTACGAGCATACAATTAACAATAATAAATATTAACGAAGAAATAAAAGAATTTCTAAGCTAAAAAAATCTCCATAAAATATAATCTTTACTAAAATGCAACAAAAAGGTACTGTTGGCGACATCATTCAGAGAATCTCTGAAGTTGCTCTATATCTCTCTCATTCCAGTTAATAAAAGAAATCTTTTTTTTTTACAATTATCGGAAAGAAAATAAAATTATTATTAAATCGTTTTTCATATATATAACTTTTCTCTGACGAAAATAAAAATCGAAACGTACGCTTCGACTTATGTAAGTCGGATATAAGAGGAAAGTGATAGAAGCGTAAATGAAGTTTCCAAGAGGCAAAAAATGGAAAAACAAAACGCAATAGAGGCATTTACGATTCTTTTACATGATTTAACACGGACTTTACATAATTTTTACATGATTTAGCACGGACTCGCACCACACCATTTCGACCATGATTTTATTATCACAAATACGTATAGCTATGTAGTTTCTGAATCGAAAACAGATGTACTGGCGCTAGTGTATGGACAATTTTGAACAACGGTCCTACGTCGGAATGTCCCCTTCTCAAGCTTCTCTCTGGTTACAGATATCTTTATTCATCTCAACGAATCGCATTATTTATATTTACAAGTGTGAGTACTAGAATCATGAATATTGAATTCAATTTCACGCACTTCCGCAGTTCTACTTTTGAGATGCAATTTTGATTAACGTATTTAAAATCCGGCGAGGCAGATGGCGCTCGCGGTGTCATGGCCTTTTCCTGTTCACGCTTACACGAGTGAAGACGTGAACGTAAGTTACGTAGTAAGAATAAACGTTGATTCGAAAATATTTTGTTGCGAGACAGTGCGGATTGACATCGTGGAGCGATCGAGTGTAAACGGGAACCGTGAGTGATCGTACAGGTGCGGAATGTGTGCGTAAGAGAGATACGCCCGAAACACAGCGGTACATGTGACCGCGTGGCCACATGTGTTTTACCAGTTTCGTGCCTGTTTGACTTTTTCATTGAGAATTTTACGAATTAGAGCACTTGCCTTGTCTGCAATCGACTTGCCGCGACCCGGAACCGCATCGTGTCTTGTCCAATTTCTCTCACTGTTAACGTTTTGGCGTGTAATATCAAACGAAGCGCTAACCGTTCTGGAAAATACAAATATTTTCTTCTTTCTCTTCGATGGTTGTCGTTAACAAATTTAGTCCAATGCAGAAAATTATTTTTTTAATTTATTAGTAAAGAAAATTATGAAAATAATTAAAATGTTAATTATAAACTTCTGACGATTTTATGTATCCTCATTTTATATTCTTAATTTGTTAAAAACTATGTTATAATTGAATTAAATATGTTATATTTTTAAATGGATTAGAAGAGGCAATATGAACTTAATATGATATGAAAAATAATTTAATGTTATTTTTGAAAGATTTCTGAATAATTTGAAGTGTATTAGCATAAATTTATTTTAAAAAAAATAATTTATACAGAATAATGTTAAAAAATTATCTATAGTTTGTGAATAGGTCTGTTTTTTGTTTGAAGAAAAATTTGAACTTTAAAATATATACTGACAGTAGATTAGAATGAAACTATTATAGTTTGTCACTTCAACTTTCTACATCAATAAATATTAGTTTAAAACTTTTCGAAAAAGAACAGATCTATTAAGAAACTATATAGAATCATTCTGAATTATTATTTTTCTTAAAATGTCTATATTTGTATCGATATACATCAAATTTTAAGAGATTTCCAAAATTATAAAAATTACTTTTTATTTTATCATACTAAGCTAATATTTATTAAATATAATTTGTTTTACTTCAACTTACTGCGCGCATCACTGTGTGTATGTGTGTGTGTGTATACTATACTAATTTAAAACTTTCTTTGGTAACGAACTAAGCTCTAATCTCGTATTTTATTACAAGAAGTAACAGTTTTTTGTTTTTTCTTTGACAGATAAACAATGGATGACAAAGAAGCTTTTGACGATATGGTGGTGGCAACCACAAATACATTGCCGGTAGCAATGCCGGCTGAACTGCCAGAGATCAAATTGTTCGGACGCTGGAATTGCGATGACGTACAAGTAAACGATATGTCTCTGCAGGATTATATCGCAGTTAAAGAGAAAAATGCTAAGTACCTTCCACATTCAGCAGGACGTTATGCGGCAAAGCGTTTCAGGAAAGCTCAGTGCCCTATTGTGGAACGTCTTACAAACTCTCTCATGATGCACGGCAGAAACAATGGAAAGAAATTAATGGCTGTGCGAATTGTTAAACACGCCTTTGAAATCATTCATCTTCTTACTGGGGAGAACCCTCTACAGGTGAGTTTGCTATTTAAAGTTTGTATTTAATTTTTGCATCTATATGAATAAAATTATACATTGAGAATATCTTAAAGCACTTAATTTGAGATTATTATTTAAATAAAACACATTCATAATATGTTACCACTTATGTGAACCACATTTTATTTATTTATGTAATACAATTTTGCATGATATAAATATGTATGACAAAATGAATATATAACCTGTTATATAAATAAAAAAATTATATAAATAAAAAAATTTATATAACAGATTATAAAAAATATATAAATAAATGATTACACTTGTTTGTGAATATTTTAGGTTCTTGTCACAGCTATTATCAATTCTGGTCCAAGAGAAGATTCGACGCGTATTGGACGCGCTGGTACTGTAAGGCGACAGGCCGTGGACGTATCCCCGTTACGTCGTGTTAATCAAGCTATCTGGTTGTTATGTACTGGCGCGCGAGAAGCTGCATTCCGCAATATTAAAACAATCGGCGAGTGTTTAGCCGACGAACTTATTAACGCTGCTAAGGGTTCGTCGAATTCATACGCAATCAAGAAAAAGGATGAATTGGAGCGCGTTGCCAAATCCAACCGATAAACAGCTTTATACATGCGGAAAAAATAAATAAACGTTCTATCTTTAAATTTTTCTCCACTTTTTATTTTTCATCCATTGTTTCTTGTCAAGAAACTTCTAACGAGTTTAATGACTTTACAGTCTTTAGAGATAAAAGAATATTTATTCTAATTATTTGAATACTCTGTTCTTTCTGATTTCTTTGAAAAATATGATAACGTATATTTAAGATGACAAAAATTTAAAAAATTAATTTATTTTTGAGTCTACAACTTTACATAGCTTTCTATGTCTTTTGTAGAATTAAGAGAAATTGGAGGTATAAGGAATTGATATATAATAATAATTATATAATTGTGAATTATATTAGTACAATTTACTTAAAAATACATGTAATATAAATGATTTCGAAAGCTATAATTTATTGCATAGATTCACTACTACATTTTTCATGTTAATACGTTCTGCAACTCATACAGTGTTGCTTA